TATATATATATATATATATATATATATATATACGTAGTAGTAGTAGTAGTAGTAGTAGTACGTATATATATATTATTTTTTTTTTTTTTTTTTTTTTTTTTTTTCTTTTTCTTTTTATGTGAAGTCTTTAATCAGGCGAAACATGGTTGATGATTTATAGGTTCATAGAGCCTTAAAAAACATTGCAAAGGCCGCTAAGATTTAGCAAAAATGTGATTATGAGGTTCATTTGGGTTTCGGTTATAGATTACAAGTTTTATATAAAATGAATAAAAATGTATTTACATCTTCGGCTCAAAAATTCTAAGTTGACAGAAATTGTAAAACAATAAAAATTCAAACTATCGAGGAAATCCGAGATATATTATTAAAGCTGGAGATTAGTCAGTGTGAGGTAAATATATTAGCAAAGTTATTAATTATGTATGAATTAGGAAAAAGAAGGATTTTGATAAAAGAAAGTAAAATTTTGCTAGTTGGGCTTTAAAATTCCACGCTTTCTCGGTAAGCAATATACTCATTCTGGAAAGGATTCCATATATAACAAGGAATAATGACTTCAATAAAATAGCGAATCAGCCACTGTACTAGACTGTCTTCGTTAACATATTCATAAAACGGAAGCATATCAATGATTATAGCATTAAATGCAAAAAGGAAAGGAAAAATGCAGATGACACTAATGCAGTAAATCAGTGAACGGTTACAAACTTTCGCAGAGTATTTATTCTTTTGGGTCCTTTCTTTATACAGCAAAAAAATGACGAATAACCAGATTATGCTGGAAGCACACTCATTTAACCATTGATCAACTAAGAGCAGAGGTTCATAATGATAATAATCACGACCTTCTAACATATATAGTCTAAGAAATATGCGAAAGAGAAATGGAAAAATCAATCCAGTACCGACACTGATAATGAATTTGGGTTGAACAGGTCGCCAAACCCCAAAACCAAAAGAGGCAAGAAAAAGGAGCAAACGATGCACAAACATCCGAAAGCTGTTTTGAAAAATACGACAGAGCTCTAATCTCCAATTGTCCGAAGAAAACAATGAGGGATTAATAGCCGTGCTAATAATGAGCAGCAATAATCCATATTGCATAGGTAGTACTTTCTCAGGTTGGGACGAGAGTGCGTAGATCCAGTAACCAGCTGATAGCAGAGAAATAACAGTAGTAACAAGTGGGGTATAGTTTTTGTTCGTCTTTGGATGTTGTATAGATAGAACTTCACGCTTCGTAAAAGTTATAATAATGTCCGAATCCAAGCTTGTCAATGGCCTCGTTGCCACACAATAAAAGCCCGAGTCGTTTATTTTGTAAGAATTAACGTTACCCGTCGACGTCGACACTATATCGTTAATAACAGAACTTCTGTTGCACTCGAATGGACCCGTCCACTCTTCTCGCTTATCCGATGGGAAGTAAACCGAAGTTTTAAGTTCATCTATCTCAGAGTGTAAATAATAAGAAAAAAGATTTTCCATGCTTTCTAAGGGGCTTAAAGTACATTCCCGATCCTTTATATTAAATAAACATATGGCGACAGGTTTATCATCACCCCAATATAAAAAATTGGCATACAAAGGGTGAATTTGTGCGTTCACCTTTTCACAGGTTACTCTCGTATAAAACTCTTCTTGTTCAGGGTCCTTGACAATGATAGATAATTGGGCATTGCTCACTGTAAGCAAGAAACAGAGTGAAAACAACCAAAATAGCCAGTTCCTAACTGACACTAGATAACTCTGCATTTTTCTACGTCCCTTGTGTTCAGTAGTTGGTAGGAAACAGGAAAATAATAAAAACCTATAAGTGGGGTTCCTAACGTCAAATTGTGAGTTTTCTAATACGAATTCAATGTCTGTACAACAAATTTTAGAGCTTGGAGTCTTTCAAATTCCATCTTCATCTACTTTTCATTGCTTCGTCTGCTTCGTTGATATAATCATAAAATGACATATTCCCTTGGACGCAAAAAAATTCAGCGAATTGGAAAAGTCTTTTCCTTTACAATTTTATCTTTTACCATCTAGGTCCTTGTTCTAATTGACATGTTTCCAAGGGAATGGAATCCCTCTGTCCTCATCAGCAAAGCTTTGTTTATTTACGTTTTGCAAGGTATCGATTACTTCGTAAACATGCGGTATACTTTTATAAGGAAACGGAAGCTAAGCGTTAAAAAAGCTGGTACTGCTTAAAATAAACAGCGCGCTGGAACGCGGTATTCTGTTCATGTAAAAGTGAGGATTTTACCAGCAAACACGATTGTCGCTGAACCATGACTCCCAGCAGCACATTGTTTGTGCGAAATCTCGCGTTTGGGACGAAAACAGAGGATCTGTCTAATTTCTTTTCAGATATCGGTCCCATTAAGCACACGGTAGTTGTTACCAATCCTGAAACAGGTGAAAATCGTGGTTATGGATTTGTTACATTTTCCATGTTAGAAGATGCAGAGCGCGCAATTCAAGAATTAAGAAACAAAAAATTAAACGGAAGGATTTTACGTATGGACTATGCTGCTCATCGTAAGCGTGCCGGTCCTTCTGAGGAAAAAGAAAAGGAGTTGGAACAAGTAAGCAATCGAAAGCCACAGGCTCCTCGACAAGACAATCGTCCTCGATTGATTATTCGCAATCTTCCTTGGTCCATAAAGAAACCAAAAGATCTGGAACCTTATTTTGAGAAATTCGGAAAGATTCGAGAAATTCGAGTGCCGACAAAACCCGGAGGTCGTATGTGTGGATTCGCTTTTGTATGGATGCAAGATCGTGAAGCTGCCCAAAAGGCCATGGATGCCGTTAACGGTACTAAGATTGATAACCGTCCCGTTGCTGTTGATTGGGCTTTAAGTAAGAATGCCTATGAGTCTAATGTAACATCACACGAAGAAAGTGATGAAAAATCAAAAGAAAACAATGAAAGTGAAGAAGAAGAAATCAAAGAAGACATTTTAAGTGACTCTGATGCTCATTCTTCTGTTGTACCTGAAAACAATGATGAAGAAGACTTGGAAAAGGATGATGCAGAGCAATCTGAAGCGTCTCAAGAAGAATTGTCTTCTGAGTCTGATTCTGAATCTGTGGATAAATCCGTTGATCGAAAAGAAAACTTGGGAGACACAATATTTATCCGTAATATTCTTTTTGAGTGTACTGAACAGCAGTTGTACCAGCATTTTCGTCAATTCGGGCCTTTGGCTTATGCAAAGATTGTCAGAGATCCTGTTACTGATAAATCTTTAGGTAGAGCCTTTGTTAAGTTCCGCTATCAAAAAGACTGCAATGACTGTCTTGAATTGGCTGCCCAAGTTCCAAAAACCGATCCCACTGTTGCTGAACAGCGTCTTTTGCCCTCTGTATTGGTGGAAGAAGATATCGATTCGGATAGCGTGGCGTCTCGTTTCTTGTTGAATGGTCGTATTCTTAACGTTACTAAGGCCGTTACAAGAGAAGAAGCTGGCGATTTCACCCAAAAAAGCATAGCCGAAAGGAAACAGAAGTTAGGAAAGGGAGTGGATAGAAGACATTTGTTTCTGTTGAACGAAGGTCGTATTGGTACAGGACACCCTCTTTTCGAAAAACTGTCAGACACGGACAAATCGATGAGATCTATGTCTATAAATCAGCGTAAAAAACTGCTAGAATCTAACCCTACCCTTCATTTGTCTTTAAGCAGACTTTCAATTCGAAACTTGTCTCGTCACATCGACCACAAAATGTTGGCCTTTTTAGGTCGTCAAGCCATTCGTTGCTTTAAAGAAGATGTTGAAAAGGGACTTCGTCAAGAACTTTCTGACGAAGAAAAAAGCCGCGACAAAGGTCAGTCTACGAAACGCGGTAAAAACGGAAGTGTTTTAAAACAAGCTAAGGTAGAACTCGAAAAGTCGGGTGCAGGCAGATCTAAAGGCTATGGTTTCTTAGAATTTGTTTCTCACAAGTACGCACTTATGGCCTTACGCTGGTTGAACGGTAGAGAAGTCACTGTTCGTAAGATAATTCAAGAAGAAATTGAATGGGCACGTTCTCATAAGCTTCCTGAACCAGAGATGCCTGTTATGGACTTCAATGATCGGCCAAGAAGACTGATTGTTGAGTTTGCCATTGAAAATATAAAGGTAGTCAAGCGACGCCAAGAAAAAGAAACTACGTTCCGTGAAAAGGCAAAGCAAATGCAAGCTAACAAAGAAGAAGAAGCTGAACAACTGAAGCGTAAACGAACAGATTCCTCGGGGGATGACGGTGAAAAGGAGAAGAAGGCTAAGGTTGCTCGGATTATTCAACAGAAACGCATGAAAAGACGACAACGGAAACATTGAGATTAAATGCTTCTGCAGTGATATGTCACATTTAAATTTCGCTCTTTTTTGTTTGGATTTTGTTACAAAAACAACCATACGAAAATTTTTTGGTTATTTTGATTCACACCTAACATATTTTTTACATTATATAGAGATACACTGGGTTTTTGGGAAATTAATGTACACATAATATTCGTTACAATATTATCTATGAACAATTAACTAGCTCGTAAATTATTGATGCGTAGTTCATATAGTCAAGTAGAAAGCCAACTGAACAGCGTTCGTATTTATTTTTCTTCTTATTTATATCTCTTTCGAAATTGATTCGGGATTTTTGATAACTGAACGGGACATGAAGGGTTGTTGTACGGCTTCCAAAAAACGATTGACTTTCGTAGGGCCCCAACCCTCGAGTTGCTCTAACTCCTCTCTTGAAGCGGACAATGCACCCTTTAAGGATCCAAACTGAGAAAGAAGAGTCAGGCTATCGCTCTTATTGATACCTCGAACGGAGGTAAGGCATGTCTGAACTTGGGTCAAGTAATCCATAGATGGTTTCTCCATAATAGAAGTAGGAGTTACATGTTCGTATGCTTTATATGTTTCCAAGTATCTTGCAGCTTCTTCTGATGACCAAGCAAGGACCAAGGTAAACTGATTCACTATACTAGTTTTTACTAGCTCTTGAATAGAAGCTTGGTGATTATCAACGTCTACTAGGACAAGCATGATTCGTAAGTTGTATGCCTTTCCTAGTCGAGATATTCTTCCATATATATATTCAGGATGAAGATGATGATATTTAAGACTACCAGAAAAAAAATCGTGTTAGCGAGTAGAAACGATGACAGCCAGATAAGGAAAGCAATAAAACAATATACCTCAAAAACAAACTACAAATCCCATTCCCCATAACAAAGTCCGGGACTATTTCTGCGTACTCCCAAGGCACATTTCGGACATGAGGCTATGGCCGTTAGCTTCTTAGAGAATAATGCATCCATAAAACGATCATACCAATAAAGGATTCCCTTTCTATAATTCATTCCGTTAGTTTGCTTACTAGGATTCCTAACATACCTGTCGAAAATTCACAAGGATCGCATGAGTTGTAACTCTTGATACCTTTTGAGGGATAATCGGTTGAGCTTGATTACCAGAAGTGTTTGTCTTCTCAACCTGTTCAAGAGCTGTAAGGCCTAGTTGTTCAAACTCCTCATCATCAATGTCTGACATGGATGGATGTCAAAGGTTTTGGACGGGTTTCGGGTGTTTGCAGGCAGTAGATGTTACTAAATTTCGTATTGCTTACAGAATTTGTCTTTTCCAATCCAAAGCAACATTTCCTTTCGATTTTGATATTGTAAATCTTGTTTATTGCTTTTTTTTTTTTTTTAATCAAGCTCAGCTTTCAGACTCGTTTGAACAGCACTTTTTGATAGCTTGAATTTTACAAAACAACATCTTCTTATAAGCTACTTAAACAAAAAAAAATTTTTACAAGGGTCTAGTTTCTCATCCAAAACAATTCTATTCCATACAACACACTATATACAACTATGTACTATGTTTAGACATCTGCCATAAGACAGTTCATGATTTCTCTAAAAAACGTTAGTAAAAGAACATAAAATTTTTTTTTTTATGAATTGAAAACCAAAATCAGCAATAAAAATTGGGTTTATCTTCGTATCCGGGGTCTTAATCCCGTTCAGTAACACGGACCAATTTTAGTCATCATATTTAATTTTATTTTCATTTGCAATAAAATTGTACATACCTTCATACAAGAGAAACCAATTTTCTTTTCCTCTAAACTCCTTTTTTTTTGGGGAATCGCCTTAGGAGTTGGTTAAGGACAACCTTGTAACCACCTAAAGAATCCTTTTATAGTAAAATTTTCCAAATGTAAAGAAAGTAAATAAAAAAAAACAGATTTTTAATAACAGAAGTCAATACATTAGATTAATCTTGGAACATTGCATATATAAAGGATGGCGTAAAATATGTACCAAAGTTGTTCAGCAAAAAAGGAAAGAATTTCACGAGTGGGAGCTTTAAAGGAAAGAGCAATAAGAAATTGAAGAAACTTAACGGAAAGATCAGCTCTTCTCCTTAATTGAAACCAAAAAGTCGACTGCACGGAATGAGAAATTCGATCAAAAGTATTGATCAAAGCTACTATTTCTGACGGACGTAGGTCACTAAGCTGGGTATTTGGCTCTAAGAGAAGTTTCAGAGCAGTTGCATAGCCAGTAATTTGAAGCTTTCCCCATAACCTGCACTTATCACAACCGACACAGTCCATAATGCGAGAAATATCCCGGAAATGTTTGCGGAACGTTTCTTTAAACTTTTGAGATTCTTCATCAGCAAAGAAATTAGAGCTTACAATAACTTTACTATCCTGCTTGGCATAAAAAACGAGTAGCTCAAATGCGTTTCTTGTTCGTTCATCAATCGCTTGATTGTCTGGACAAAAAGACAAGGGAATATTGCTTTCGGATTTTTCTAGCTGATCAGCAATCTGTACAAGCGCTTGATGTAAAAGAGCGTAATTAAAGAAGATATTCTCAATACGGTCTGGATAATTCCCGACTTTGGTCAACCACCACTCCAAGTTCTTGGTCCAACGATTTTGATCGGCGTCATAATAGTTTTCGCAAATGTGAGAAGATATGCTAGCGTGAAAACCGGATATAATCTTGTTCAACATACGCTTCTCCTCGCAAGCGACGGAGGGTAATATGGACAGAACATCGTCTTCTTCTGGCGAAAGTTGAAACGGAGACATGCCTGACTTATAGAAAGCGTTGCTTTTTAATCCTTCTGTATTTTCATCATCGCTTACCACGAAGCAATTCTGCTCATAAATACTGCGCCAGATAGCAGCTGTATGATCCCCCGAGTACCCAGTAAACCTTTCGGGATTTTTAGCAAGCGAAACGTAAACGCAATCCTGTTTGGAAGACACTTCATCAACATAGCAGTAATCTAATTGAGAATTATGTTCCCAATTGCATCTTGTTTGATTTTTCTTAGAGGAAGGTTCAAAGTCACTCAAGCTCTTCCAAACGTTCGGTATCTCATTTTCTTCCAGCGTGTCGACAGCGCATCCTTGACTACTACACATAGCATTGTCGTTTTCCCACAGTGGGCATTCAGCCTGGTACAGGTTCAATTTGTAGTACGAAAAATAATCACTTCCCTCGGTCAAAACTGGCAATAACGTTCGTACTCTACTTTGCATTCGATGGATTGCATCCGTGTCAACTTCAGTTTGTCGAACCGCTACATTTGGAAGCAGAAGATACGCCCATAAGGCGTGCCAAATCATAAATAGCTTATCGATTCCAAGCATTTTGTATGAATCCCTTGTAATTCTGGTATTTTAATACTATGCTATTGTAAAATTCATTCGTAATTGTTTCTTTTTTTGCGTCCAAAACTGACTATATGGTTGTTTTCAAAAATTCTACTCCATCAACTGAATATAATATGATTTTGAGCTATGTGATATCGTAATATCGTAACATTTTAAAGAGACATTGTTACTCATATGAAAATCAGTCAATCATACAAAAGCCTTTACTAGTTTCTTGTATTCTGATGAAAAACAAACGTTTAAAGAAAACAATTACTGTGTATCCATTCCTTTACTGCTTAGCAGTTTCAGTGAAAGAATTCTTAATTCCAAAGTCAATCATTTCATTGCCAAAATAATTTAGTTTTTTATTAAATATTTCGTGTCATTAAAAAGAGCAAGCTCAAATTTTCATGAGTTAACTATCATGAATTAATTTTCTTGGGAGTTTTTCGACTCCAGTCTTGAAATCTTAAACTCTAAATCTCCATCCAAAACATCAATCATAACATTTTCGTCAGACTTTATCTCACCTTGAATAATTTTCATGGCCATGGTGTTCAAAATCTTCTTTTGGATTAAACGATTCAATGGTCTTGCACCGTAGGAAGGAGAATATCCCTTTTCGGCAAGCCATTTCTTTGCAGCATCGCTGACGTTAAGCGTTATACGACGATCATTCAATCGTTCCTGAACTTCAGCTAAACGAACATTGACAATGCCTTCCAAGTTCTTTTCGGACAATTTGTTAAATACAATTTGGTCATCAATTCGGTTTATGAATTCAGGAGGATAGTAGCTTTGTACCATTTCAAGAACCTTTGTTCGAGATTCAGGCGTAACACTGCTACTAGGATCATTAACAAGGATCTCACTGCCAAGATTAGATGTCATTACGATTAAGGTTGAACGGAAATCAACCTTGCGACCTTGAGCATCCGTCAAAAATCCCTCGTCTAACACTTGCAATAAGAGGTTGGTAACATCGTTATGGGCTTTTTCTAATTCATCAAAAAGCAACACGGCGTAAGGCTTGCGACGAACAGCTTCCGTAAGCTCTCCAGATTCTTCATAACCCACGTAACCTGGAGGACTGCCAACAAGGCGAGAAACCGTGTGCTTTTCTTGGAATTCAGACATGTCAAAACGAATCATTGCTTTCTCACTGTCAAACAAAAATTCTGCGAGAGCCTTGGTAAGTGCGGTTTTACCGACACCTGTGGGGCCTAAGAATAGGAAAGAAGCTAAGGGACGGTTGCTGTTTTGCAAACCAGCACGCGACAAGCGAACAGCATCTGCGATAGCATGAAGAGCCTCATCTTGTCCGATAATAGTCTTACCGATTGTCCTTTCCATATGTAGTAAACGGTCACGTTCTCCACGCATTAAGTTTGTAGTAGGAATGCCAGTCGCTCGAGAAACGACAATTGCAATATCATCACTGGTAACAGAGTCATGTACTAATGAAGGTTTTTTATTGTGCAAATTTTCCTCTTCCTCTGGAAGCTTGCGTTTTAATTCTGGAATAATGGCATATTGAAGCTCAGAAGCGCGAGTATAATCGCCTTCACGTTGAGTTCGCTCCAGCTCAATCCTAGCTTTTTCTAGTTCAGATTTCGCAGCCTTAATATTATTCAAGGCACCCCTTTCTTCTTCCCAAACGGCAGAGAGCTTCTCTTGATCAACCCTTAATTCCGCCAATTTGCTTTCTAGTTTTTCACGACGTTCAATCGACGTGGTATCTGTTTCTTTTCTCAAAGATTCAAGCTCAATCTGGATCGTCATAATTTGTCGATCTAATCGGCGCAGTTCATCTGGTTTGGATTCTTGTTGCAGTCGTAACGAAGAACAAGCTTCGTCCACTAAATCAATGGCCTTGTCAGGAAGGAACCGATCAGTTATATAACGAGCACTATAGGTGACAGCAGTAACCAAAGAATCATCTGTAATCCGCACACCATGATGTACTTCATAACGTTCTTTCAAACCGCGAAGGATTGAAATGGAGTCTGAAATAGAAGGTTCAGTTATCATGACAGCTTGGAAGCGACGAGCTAAAGCTGCATCCTTCTCAATATACTTTCGATATTCCTCCAGAGTAGTAGCACCACAGCATTGTAGTTTTCCTCTAGCTAAAGCCGGCTTGAGCAAATTGCTAGCATCTATAGAGCCCTCTGCTTTACCAAATCCAAGCAAAAGGTGCATTTCGTCGACGAAAAGTATGACCTTTCCTTCCGCTGTCTCTAAATCGCTTAAAACACTCTTCAAGCGCTCTTCAAAATCACCACGAAATTTTGCACCTGAAATTAGGGCACCCAAGTCAAGGACAATAACCGTTTTTTCTTTCATTGACTCCGGAACTTCTCCTCGGACAATTCTTGTAGCTAACCCTTCCATAATGGCAGTCTTACCAACGCCTGCAGGACCAACGAGAGCCGGGTTGTTTTTGGTGCGGCGTGATAAAATCTGAATTGTCCTTTGTATTTCTTCTTCACGGCCAATTACAGGGTCAAGTTTCCCTTGTTTGGCTAGAGCAGTAAGGTCAGTACCAAATTCCTCCAAAGCTGCTCCAGGTTTTGGTGTTCCACCTAAATTCATTCGAAAGGTTCCTCCATTTGGATTTGCCGCATAAAATCTGCGTTGATTCCATCTTAAATTTCGCCAATTGCTTTTGACGGCAAGTGACAGACGCGAAGAAGCATTCACGCTTCCAGTACTTTGCACAATTGCAGGCTTTTGAGAAAGATTTCTTGAAATAAGATGGCGAGGTAATTTCTTTAAGCTTCCATGGTACTGCCGAACGTTGATTATTCGGTTCACAATACCTTTCTGTACTGCGTACATCTTGAATATGTTTATGTCGTGCACTACAAGATTTCACGGGTCATCATCTTCTTATATAGAAACTGTTACTTATGTTAGCGCGCACCTAGAAAGAAATCTTTAGAAGAAATTCAAATAGCGCATCTCGTTGAAATGTGTAAAGTAGTATGACGAGATGGAAGGAAGTGATTTTGTTTACGAGAAAGAAAGGTTTGTTCTATGGAATTTCAATTTTAAGAAGAAACAAAGGTTAGTAAAGAGTAAAAGAATTCTCTTGCCCAATTAAGCCTTGTTATCGACTTGACGTGCGTTTGCAAACTTTTCCAGTCGAGTTCTCTAGTTAAGTAAATAATGGAGGGTAACAAAATTGGCGAGAAAGTGGAAATGCGTAGTATAGAAAACCAGAGGAATCCTGAACTTTCCACGTTCTAGATTATACTTGATTTATTCTTGCACTTTCTGTTTTCACTTATTTTTGTTTATTTTGCCGTTTATGCTTTTGTATAGAATTTTTCCATAAGTATTACTTCAAAACAGATTACGGAAGTCGTGCGGACATAATCAATATGTTATTTAATATCTTTATATAAGCACATAAAAACAATAGAGAAAACTCCAAGGGGGACGATTCTAACAAGAAGTATCTGGAATTCATAAATCGCGTGAAAAACTAAAAGAGTAGTTTCTCAGGTTGAGATCTTCTCACACTATGATTCATATCCTTGCAATTACTCTTTGTCAGGAGAACTCTATTCAGTGCCTTCCTTCAATATTGCGCAGTAGTGGGGAATAGAAAAAGTTCAATCCTTTGAATTATCTTAAGCTGTACTTCAGTCATGAAAAAGCAATCGCCTATCAAACATAGTTAAACCTTTACTAAGCGTTGTCCAGTTCTGTACGAAGCCTAATCTGCATTCAGCATGAACAGACGATAGAAAAAAAAAACCGTGTCCACAAATTTCGATAGCCATACGCATAAAAGAAAGAGAAAGGCAGTCATGGATGGCAGTATTGCTCAAAAGACCAGATAGAATCTATGCAAACGAATGATAGACAGAACGCTTCCAAATCTGCTTCAGAATTGATACAAAATTTTAAGCACTGCACAACGAACATGTTAACACGTATTTGCATGACAGGAAACCAATTTGACTAAAAATAGAAACTTGCAAAAATAAGTACTTTGCTTCTTGGATAGGAAAATTTTATACTCTAAATTCTAAAGAACCCATATGAATCTTCTTTGTATTGCCTAAGATCGTACCTGAACTACTCGTCTGCAATACAGGTACAATACGTATGGAGCTAATCAAATTGAACACATAAAATGAATTACGTATGGATTCCAAACAAGGAGCATTAAAATACGGTACATGTTCGGCTTAATAAAAGTCAAAGGACTTGGGAGTTCATATGACACTGTTAGACTCCAAAGAAAGGAATCCAATGAGTACAAACGCCCACAGCAGAATCGAGAACGATACAAAAAGAAAAAGAGCATAGGAAATGCAGAGATAGTAAATCATAGGTTGCATAACTAGAGATGTAAGGATAGTCGTCCTCTGGAGGATAATTTATTGGTTGAAATCGTTTACTGGTTCTTGAGATTGGTGGAAAGCCACTCAAGACCTTCGTAAAGACCATCACCACTAGTAGCACAAGTGGCTTGGATATACCATTGACGATGGCGAAGAGAATGAAGACCGAGCTTGTCAGTAATTTCAGCAGCATTCATGGCGTTTGGCAAATCTTGTTTATTGGCAAAGACCAATAAGAGGGCATCTCGAAGTTCGTCTTCATTAAGCATACGTTGCAATTCTTCATGAGCCTCAGAGATACGTTCACGGTCGTTGGAGTCAACAACAAAGATAATACCTTGAGTATTTTGGAAGTAGTGTCTCCATAAAGGACGAATCTTGTCTTGACCACCAACATCCCACACTGTGAAAGAAATATTGCGGTACTCAACAGTTTCTACATTGAAGCCGATCGTGGGGATTGTGGTTACAATTTCACCGAGCTTAAGTTTATATAAAATGGTAGTTTTACCAGCAGCATCAAGACCAACCATAAGGATACGCATCTATATAAACAATCGATGTGGTTAACTCCTTCCTCTTTCTCACAATTTTCTTACCTCCCTCTTGCCAAAGAGACTTTGAAATAATTTGCTGATGCTCAAACCCATTATTCTTATATTTCTTTTCTTGACGGTCGTTTCTCTATGGGACGGTTGTTTTTGGTAGAAGATGAAATCTATCTGGTGGTGCAGCGGGGGTTTACGGCTTGGTGGTCGGTGACCGTTATCAAGCTCTAACAATGGTGGATTCCATATATTACGATTTACACAAGTTCTCTTACCCATAATTTGTATACTATTTTACTATTCAATTATAAATATTTTGGCTGTATTTCAATGTATATTTTAGTTTCCTTGTTTTTTGATCGTAGGTCTTCTCTCTACCATAATACTTCCACTAGTTTGCAATGCAGAAAAGTTGCTTAAGACAAGTACAAAAGTTACTAAATTTGTTTAGTTTTTCCTCCTTTTTTTTAAAAAATTAATAATATTTTGGTCTATATCGATCTGATTCTTTACGTAGTAAGTTATAAATATAATAAGAATACAGTAGCAAAGGACAAGGTAAGGAATTCTCGTTTCTTTATTCTTTTTTTTTAAAAAATTTCTTCAGTGCTCTTTTTGTTACATTTATAATCTGAGTTTTGATTCGAAACTACAGTCTTTTCTTAGTAGACACCTAAGGATAGGAAATACTACGATCAAAACGATGAACCCCCCTGTTTCTTCGATTCAGAAATGTGAACGCTAATATCATTTGACTGTAAAGGATTTCTCTGTAGAATATGCATCAAGCGTTCATAGACGAGGCAGGGTTATTTTACTATCTTCTCTGTCTCTTCCCATCTGATTTCCTACATACTTAATCCTTGTTTTAAGGAAGGGAGGGATTCGATACAACTACGGTCAGGATTCAAAACGTTGATTCCATTTACAAGATACACACAGTCTACGAGAGTATCCTTTATTATATTGACCTGAATGTATTGCAGATTGTCTTCATAAAGCTGCTTCTATTGTTTTAACGTTATAAAGCACCTCGAAACTTTGGTGCTTCTCGTTCATTTATATATTAGTGTTTTCTATATATGGATTCGAGACTAATACAAATAGAAAGGGAACAATGAATTAATTTATTCTTACTTTTAATAATGAAATTAGCTTCTTTGACACATCCTTTTGAACAGCCCTTACGTTACAGACATCGATGACTGACTGACTACTACTCTTAACATCAACGTCCTGTAAGGAAAATTCATATATTCATTATTTTTTGGTCTTTTCTCCTTTTTTGATTAATTTGATTTTATTTACTTTACATTTCGTTTAAATGGTGTCTTTGGAGTATGGGTTTGAACGAGCCAAGCACTTGCTAAAGCGGCCGTTTGTTCGCTACACTTTCATTGGTCTTCTTTCCTTGTTATTCGGGTTTTTGTCATTCAAATATGTCTTTCGTAAGTCGCTTAATCCAGTTGATGAACTGTATCAATGCGCTGTACCTTCCATGATCTATGTCCCTCCCATGATTAATAAAGTGATTGCCATTCAAGAAGAAGAGTTTATTAGACGTCGTGATAGACTCGCCTCCACTTTAGCTTCCGAGAATATTGATGCCTTCATCATGGAACCAACTATTTCTATGAATTACTATGCCAACATTTCTTCCAATGCTTGGGGGTTATCCGAACGTCCCTTTTTAGGAATTGTTTTCGCTGAGGAAGAATCTTCTGGAGCAACTGTGTTTTTCTTGCTTCCAAAATTTGAACTTCCTCGCGCAAAAGAATTGGTGGGAGACAAATTAAACGCAAGGTATATTACTTGGGATGAGGATGAAAATCCTTATCAAGTTTTATATGACACCCTTGGACCTTCTAAGCTTATGATTGATGGTACAGTACGACACTTTATAGCTCAAGGCTTACAGGAAAGTGGATTTGAAGTTGTGGGTCAATCTAAAAGTGTATCCAGTCTTCGTGAAATTAAAAGCGATGCTGAAATTGACATTATGTTTCGAGTAAATATTGCTACAGTCGCTGTTATCCGATCCGTTCAGCCATGTCTAAAGCCTGGAATAACAGAACTTGACTTGGCCGAAACCATCAACAGACTTTTTATTTATGGTGGCCTTCCACCTCAAGATAGCCCAATTGTTTTGTTTGGGGAACGTGCAGCTATGCCTCATGGTACACCTTCCGAGCGTTCATTGAACAAGAATGAATTTGCTTTAATTGACATTGGAACTGAACTTTTTGGCTATCACAGTGACTGTACTAGAACAGTCCTTCCAAATGATCAAAAAATGACTAAAGAGATGGAGAACATATGGAATCTCGTGTTTGAAGCTCAGACGGCCGGAATGAACGCTTTGACATATTCTAACCATACTTCATGTGCAAGTGTTGATCGTATTGCAAGAAATATTATCCGTGAAGCTGGCTATGGCGAATTTTTTATTCACCGATTGGGTCATGGATTGGGATTGGAGGAACACGAAAATTCATACTTAAATTCCGCAAACAATAACACTTACATTCAGAAAGGAAATATATTTACTGTTGAGCCAGGAATTTATATTCCCGATAAGATTGGGGTACGGATTGAAGATGCTGTTCTTGTTTCTGATTTTCCCGTCCTCTTGACAAACTACAGAGCAAACAGCCCCTATGAACCATAATGAAAACTTTTTACATAATTTATATAAATGCAAAAATAATAATATGAATCATGATTGTCTTTTTGAATGAATTTGTTGACTTTATTGAACTTAAAATTATGTAAGGTTTATGTCTTCTTGTATCAAATGCAATTCCTCTTCAAGTCGAGGATCAAAATCAGGATAATTCAATCCATGAGGATCGAGTTCTAGGTTTCTGGGAGAAGGTCTCCATAAAAATGCTAACAAACTTAGACATATCAGATGCAAAGCATCCATCCAGCCATCCATGAAAAACCACCGGAACTTCCAAATCTTGGATGATGAAGAATGGTTAGTCCTTGCACAAAAAGCAAAAGCAACGAGACCGAATACAGTATTCAGGACCATGGTCATAGCCGCAGAAATGCGCAATACTTTATAATTACCGTGTAGCAAAGTGAAGCGCTTTTCCATCATGGCTTGTAGCGTGCTAGGGAAGTATATTAAACTTTGGTACAGAAGCACTAATGATGAAGACACAGCAATGATTAAAAAAGCACCGTACCATAAACCTAGGTGAATGGACTGGATAGAAATACCAAAAAATTTAACGGAAAATAAAGAAAGGAACAAAATTCCTAGGGGAAGACCATGCTGTTTCATTAACCTTTCAGTGATTTTTGGAGAATATCTCGTATATCCCCAAGAAAATATAAGTAGCAAAACAAAGTCTAGCACTTTTTCTAGGGAAAAAATCACGGATACTATAAATTCTGAAATCCAGGTAAATCCCGTCCTGTCTCTGAGGTTCTTAGTGTCTAGTACAATAGAGGTTAACGCTTGAGTAGTACAGGAAAAACAAAAAAAGAACAATAAGACACCCTGGATCGGTACTATGGAGTTTTTATATTGAAAGCGAAAAAACATCCATAGAGCCAAAACGACACTATATGCAATAGTTATTCCACCAGATAAAGGCAAACGAGGGTATTGGGAAGCGGGTAGATTACCATAAGCATTTTGCCAATTGACAAGAGCTTGATATGGTTTATTCTTTAGTGAATGGGTCCAAATGCAATAATAACCAGAGTGATTAATGCTATACACTATATTCGTTGGGTAAGAAGAAACAATTTGTGAATGAACTGTCTTTGCAGAAGTAGCGTTCCAGATATAAAAACCTATTTGCTCAGGTTCACAGAAATGATCTGTGTAAGCAGCATCGTAGTCACAAAGATAGACCCTTTCACCATTTTCTTTGCTTTTTCCTATCTGTTTTATATCCTTCCAACGAAAGATTAGAACTTCAATCTCGTTTTCTTGATCCCAAGGCTGTGTCCAATTGACTAGATTTGTTAGTTTTGGTATGTTTTTACTTGAGCCATGGGAAGAATACGAGACGTACTATAGATAGCAGGATTTAAAGATCCTCCTGATTCAGACTTGGAATAAATTCCATTACATAGTTCACGGTATTTTGAGTTCTGTGGAACGTATTTGTCAGTGATCACGAAGTAAAAGATATAACGAAGGCATCCTTCCTAATACTTACGAGAAGTGTCTTTTCTGCCAAAGTTATTGATACAAAAAAGCCCAAAAGAAGAGCCAGGTTAGCGAAACATGTTTTTAGAATCTTCATAGAGTTTAATTAGATAGATTCACGAACATAGAGTGTTTCTCAATTAATGTAAATGCCTTTTAAGTGTTCAGTTTTTCAAGAATATTGGTATTGCAAAGGAGTGAAAGACGATCCTGTGGTTTGTCCTAAAAAATTCAAAATTAGCAGGAATCTCTACTCTATTTGAGACTGAGGAATCCAGAAGAATATTTAAAATCTCCTAAAAAGTAAAAGGTGCTCCTGTCTTCTTATATTGAGAAAAGAAATAGAAAAATTTCGTAGGTAGGAAAGTTATGAAGGGATAATTGACAGCAACGGAAATCAAAAGTCTAGTGAAGCATGAAAATACTTTTTATTTTGATGAATGAATAATGCTAAAGCCCAATGAAGAGTTATAAGTGTCGAAAACAACCCAATTCCATAAACCGTTAAGGTAAATAAATAAACATCACAGGAGAAGGGTCTGAAATGAATCCTGGAATTGTGGTGTTTAGCACTAATTTTAAAGCTTCTAAAAATAACCATGATAACCGAGATTCGTTACACAGACGCTGAGAAGCTACAAATTCAATAGGAATGTATATTTATGGAGTTTGACCGTATCCAAAGAGATGAACACTCGAACGAATTATTAAACATCTCATCTTACTAAGTAGTTTACGCGCTTCCAGCGCTAGAACTCATTGCAAAAAGGAAATAGTACTAATTCCAAAATTTGCATTCCTAAAGCTAAAAACAGGTAATTTAATGAAATCAATAAACAACAATGAAATATATGTAAGTATATTTAAAACTACTTCCGTACTGAAGAAATCAGTTATTAGTTGTTTCGGCTTGACCTCTTGTCACATTACCAGGAACCGTTGGGTAATGTGGTCGGCTTACTTTTCAATTACACGCTCGTTTCAATAGATCCTTTATATGAATGGTACAAGATCTTTTCAGCCTCCTTTTTTTCAGCTTCCAACAGAACTTCTACCGTTAATTTGCCGTTTTTTGTCTGTTCAGGATATTCAAAATTTAGTGACTGTAATACCATCAGTATATCCTGTACTAGAAGCCTCAATTGACTTATTTTGGAAAAAAAAGCATTATGAAATCGATACACGCAAGAATCGACTCTTGAAAGAAGCTTTGAGTATTGGTTATGCACCTGCAGCTTCGAATGGATTCGTGAGTGGTACCCAGGTATCATCGACTGCTGCAGAACGTGAATATTACGCTAAATCAGATGAAGTAAAGTCCGTTTGTGGATTGCCTCCGGGCCCTATGAAAATAGAGCAGGTTGGTACATGTATCGACTACCTTTTGACTTCACAATATGGAATGGATCTTCATGGGAAGAAGATAAAGACTTCTTTTTTCTCTTTAAATGATGCTGGAGATGAATGGGTACATTCTATGTGCCTTCAATTGCGGCAGTATCTATCTCCAGCTGCTGAAGGAGCCCTGGCCTCGTTTCAACGTCGAAGTCTTTCAAGCCTCTTCTTACAGATTCTGTTTGTTGGAATGCTCTTTGAAGAGGATTTGTGGTATTATTTTAATATCCTCTATGATGTTTCATCATCTACAGCTATTGAGTTTGCATATTTCTTAAATACTCTTCTTACAATCGTAAAAACTGATTATGAGCATTATCGTGATCCACTTTCTCAAACTTTAGTATCTGCTAGTAGCAGATTTCAAGATACAGTTCTCTCTATAGAATCACCGTTTGACGATAGTTTTGAGAAGGGCCTTACCGCAGAACAGAAACGCATTGTCGAATGTGTATTACATCCCGGGGAAGTTTTGAAAGTCAAAGCTTTTGCAGGAACCGGCAAAACAAAAGCTCTTCTAGAATTCTCCCGTAGCAGGCCACATAACAAAATTTTATATGTAGCATTTAACAAGGCTGCTAAAGAAGAGGCTGAACAACGTTTTCCGTTGAACGTTAAATGCTCCACCATACATGGATTAGCTTACGGAGCAATCTTAGCTCAAGCGGATCTTCCCGCTTCAAAGCTTGAAAGGCAACTCTCTAATACCAATATTGCAAATCTATTGTCTCTACAAGCTGCATTTCCTAAATCAAATCGGAAAGCAGCTCCTGGGACTCCTTCTGCAACCCTGGTAGCTTCTCACATAATGTTCACCTTGAACCGATTTATGCATTCGACGGATTCTCACCTGAGTTTTCGACACGTTAGTAAGCGCAGTTTAGAAGTAACTCAGTTATCAAAAGAAAAATTGCTAGCATACGCGAGAAGACTATGGTCATTGATTATAAATTTTGATTGCCCATACGCCCCTCTGATTCCCGATGCGTACATGAAGTTGCTTCATCTATACGAATTTCCGAATATATTCTCAAAATTTGATTACATACTATTTGATGAAGCTCAAGATTTTACTCGATGCATGGTAGATGTGATTTACAGGCAAAAGCACGCTAGGATTGTTATCGTTGGAGATGCTCATCAATGCATTTACGGATTTCGGGGGGCCGATGCTTGTGCATTTGATGAAGTATTATACCCTTCTACAAAGCAGTTGTACTTGACAAAGAGCTTTCGGTTTGGAAATTCTGTTGCCAAATATGCTAACTTCATCTTGTCTCTAAAAGGAGAAAATGTGAAACTCAGGGGTGTTAAGGATGATCGAGTATTCCGATCTGTAAATGAACCATTTTCTGTGGTAAACCAGAATTTCCGTTTCATTCCTCATACAGTCATTTTTAGAACTAACAAAGGTAAGTGTTTAATTTTTTAGGGCTTTTAAACTTACTAAGCATAATGTATTAGAACTCATTTTACAATCGATCCGTTTGTCGGTTTCATTGCCAAAGAATATCCCTATAACTATTTTGGGCTCTATGAAAAAAAAAGCCTTTCAACTTTTGCGCAGTGGTTCAGAACTTGCCCATGGACAACGGCCATCTCATCCTAAATTGAGAGAATTTACCTCCTGGGCCGAGTTTGAAACGCATGTCAAAAACTCGGCAGAAGAAGATCCTGAGCTTGCCTTGGTGTATGATATGGCAGAGGAGTTGTTTAGCGAAAGTTTTCTAACAAGGTTGGATAATTGTGAACAAAGACTGATCCAATCGAAAGATGAAGGAGAAAACGGAATCATCTTGGCAACTGCACATCAATCAAAAGGTTTAGAATGGGACAATGTGCAATTAGGTAATGATTTTCGACCGAAGTTTGATAGTACTTCTTATGCACGAATTGGATCTTCGCGGTATCTGAAGGAGGAAATCAACATTCTTTATGTTGCCCTCACCCGAGCAAAATGCTGCCTAATTTTGAATGATACGATAGCAAAATTTTATGCTTTGGAAAAAGGGTTATTACGATTTGCAGGGGGGGTTCCTTCTTTGGAGGAAGAAATGCAAATTGAGAAGGTTGCTATATTTGTTGATTGGCAAATTGAAAACTTCAGTTTTCTTTGCGATATATCTACTGAATGTTATAACTTTTTTGTAGATCTAGATGGGAAAACGGTATGGGATGTATTTTTTGGTGTGCTTTCAGGAAGCTGGCAAAATTATATCGCGAATACGGCGGAGCGCCTCAAAAGGACCATGTTATTTATTGAAGATCAATTATTTATAAATCATAGTTGAGCACGGAATTTAATTGAATAGCATCTTTATTTATGTGTGCATAAAATGCCTTATTTTTTTCAGGAACTAGACAAATATCCATAGATTATAATCTTTAAATTTATGACTATGAAGCTAGAGAGTAATTTAATTTTTCTTTTCTTTCTTCTATCGTTTTACAGTATGATTGCTTTCAATTTATTTATTATGTTTACAACCATAAACCAGATCTATGAAAGGAAAATATAGAATGGAATTGGGACTAATATGGATTGTGCAAGCTTAAATCTTACTTAAAATTTACATTAAATATTATTATAGATAGATACATTCGTTCTTCATTCCAAGGAATCATTTTCGTGATTTTTTTTTTTATTTTCCCCAAGTAAACAAACATTTGGCGCTATACGAATAAAGCTTTATCCAACGCACTAGCCAAAAATAGGGGGAAGTAGCAGTTCGATAAATTAAATAACGAAAGGCTAACCATTACGGTAAAAGAGTAGCGAGTCGTTTGGAAGTGCCCTATTCGAAGAGAAAAGACTCAAGCAAAAATTCAGAAAATAGCCTACTTGTATTGATATCCTTAGGACAATGGGAAAAGTACGTGTTCGTGCTAATAATGCAGTCTCTCAAGCAGAGGCTAGAAATACGGTTTTTAAATTTAATAAAGATTTTGGCCAGCACATCTTAAAGAATCCTCTTGTCGCACAAGGCATTGTTGACAAGGTATGAAGTAGAATTTTTAAAGAATTGGACGATTGCTAACTTTATTCTAGGCTGACTTGAAGCAATCAGATACAGTTCTTGAAGTTGGTCCCGGTACTGGTAACTTGACAGTGCGAATGCTCGAAAAGGCAAAAAAAGTCATCGCTGTGGAAATGGACCCTCGTATGGCAGCGGAGTTGACGAAACGTGTCCAAGGAACTCCTTATGAGAAGAAGTTACAAGTGATTATAGGCGATGTGGTTAAAACTGATCTTCCCTATTTCGATGTTTGTGTCTCTAACACTCCATACCAGATTTCTTCGCCTCTGGTTTTCAAACTGCTACAGCAGAAACCAGCTCCCCGATCTAGTATTCTAATGTTTCAGCGTGAGTTCGCCATGCGCTTGGTTGCTCGGCCTGGGGATGGTCTATACTGTCGTTTGTCTGCGAACGTTCAAATGTGGGCTCATGTAAAACACATTATGAAGGTTGGTAAAAACAATTTCCGACCTCCTCCTCTCGTAGAGTCTAGTGTCGTTCGTATTGAACCGAAGAACCCACCTCCTCCAATCTCGTTCGAGGAATGGGACGGTCTTTTGCGAATCATCTTTTTAAGAAAAAACAAAACTATAGGTGCCTGTTTCAAATCAGGGTCCGTATTAGAGTTGATGGAGAGGAATTATAGGACTTGGTGCTCTCAGAACGAACGAATGATTGAAGATAACTTTGATATCAAAGCTCTTATTGACCAAGTCCTTGCAAGCATTAATCTTCAGGATGCTCGTGGATCAAAGTGTGGTGAAACCGAGTTTTTGGCCCTATTGCATGGTTTTCATCAAGTTGGCATTCATTTTGCATAAACCATGGGAGTCGTCTTCTATTTATATTATTTTTTGGGGGTAACTGAGGATATTGGTAATTTGGTCGGAAGGTTACTAAAAAAGTTTTCATAGTTTTGTCTAATCGTTTGCTGTCTAGTAAATAATCTGTTGTGCAGTTTTGGAAAACGTCTTCGTTTGGATCATCGTTGCTTCATTTACCCAGTACTTATAAATCTCTCATGATTATCTTTTTGTAAGTTACTTGCATTAGCCCAGTTCATTTGATGAAATTGTTTTTGGCATGTACTTCTTTCTTCATATCACCAACCTCCATTGACATTTTTCTTCTTTTAATTTACCAAAAAAAAAGATTATATTTCATGAATAAATTTTCTAAATAGGGATGACCAGTAAGTTCCCCTAAACGTAATGAGAAAATATACTTATTCCCTATACATTCCATCGAACTGAACTTTCCTACCGACCACCACAGTTTGCACTAACCGAACTGTGAACTGAGGGTTTTAGGTTTGCTGGCTCCAAGGTTAGAGTAAATGAATAGCTAATCACTTATTCCTTACTTTCGTTTTCTTTTTTGGGATTGTTCGCTGTATTCGATTGTCTTTTTACATTCTTCTTTTCGAAGTAGTCGTTTGACTCATTTTTATCATTCAAGTTCCCTTTTTCAACAATAGAGAACGTTTTAAATTCTTTATAAATTATGCCTTAACAGCCAGTTGTCTCCCTTTTATACTTTTTGGCTGCTATTTCTGTTTTCGTTAAAATAACCTTTACCCTTAAGATTTTTTATTTCTCTGTTAGGTTTTTTTTTTTTGGATTGTTTTCGTGTGTATATTTAACCTTTAAGAATGAAAAAGAATCTGAGAAAGGTTAAGCTCAAATTGCAAAACCCTCTTCAGCTTGGTTTTAGTGATCAATCCAACTCCAAGCCGAACACTCCAGTTAGCTTAACATTTTCCTCTTCCGCCGCTTCTGCCTCTCCTTCTCCCTGTAGTAACGGCAATTTCTCTCCTGGTTTCCGTACAGACCCTTTTACAGTAGCGCACTTTGGATATGCTAACGAAGACTTTGGGTCACCTTCTCCCTCGGTTGATAGCCCCTTGAATTCTCCATCACTTCCAACTCCATCTTCCGATGACCGTAACCAATGTGGTACTTACTTTCATCCAGTTTCCAAGACGGAATCAGTCCGTTCACACAAAGGTTTGATTCGATCTGCATCAGATCCTTACTCCGTCGACGATTTTGCTGCCACTATGTTTCCAAATGACAAACTTCATACTTCTACGGTTCCGCAGTCCACAACATCTAATCGACCTACTCTCCGACCCTCCACCTCAATGTCGAGCTCGTCTTCTTTTCCTCAATATAATCCTGACTCTTCTTTTATGACGAGCATCTTACCCTTGTCAAGTGATCTGGCATTGCGTAAAAGTGAAGTATTGGATCTATATTCCCTTTACGAAAGAATCTCTTTTTTATTTTCTCACATCTTCCATTGCTTAAATTGCGCGGAACTAAAACACTTGCCTTTTTATGTAAATTCTGTCCAACGCGAGCTGTTTTCTCTATTCCATTCGACCGGAATTTTTTATCTCTTATTGCAAAATACATCTCGGGGTTCGGAAACAGGAAACTCATTTTTTGTCTTTTTTGAAAGGCTATTTCCTCACCTATCTCGTCTTGCTTTATTATCTGATTTAAAAAATGGAAATTTTACAATAGGAGTATTAATTCCGATGCTTGGTTCGTGTACTGAAAAGTTATTTTACATTTTACAGTCATTTATGATTACTTGTGCTAATAGTAGTTTCTTTCTGCAACATTACACAAATTCAATTGCTTTCGTCGAAGGTACCCCTTCTGCTGGAAATTGGTCTGGTAACGGATTGACTAATTCCACTAATTCCACTCGCTTTCTCTCGAGTGCAGCTACCCTTAGTAGCCTGGATACTTATTTATATTTCCTTTTTCAAAATTGCTCTGAATCTATGGAAAAGCTAAAGAGTCAAATTGTAAAAGTCGATGATGATCTTATTGATGATATTTGTTACTCTATAATTAATCAGTGTAAAGAGGTCCTTAATTATATCGAAAAGTGGGATTTATCTGCTGTATCGGAAATTTCTAATGAAAATATACTACAATCATTTTTTATTAAAAAACAGCTTTGCTATGACCTTACCGGTGAACTTGCTTGTTTTTTTCAAGAGTTAACCCTTGGAAACGTTGATAAGCAATCTATTGTTATGAGAATAACAGGTGTTGCTCTTAGCTTTCAACAGCTATTTGGGTACATGTATACAATGGTGAAAGGTGAAACATTTGCTAGTTTTGATAAAACGGACTTTTTGTGCAAGAAGTTTCAATCCTACTTTGTTGATGATTCATATGAACCTGAAGTGTCGGGATTATTTAAAAACGGTGATAATCCTTCTGAAATCTCTCGATCCTCTGGCTATACCGCCATTAGCAATAATAGCAAAGAAAGTTTTACTGTATGGAGGTGGTCTCGACGATTATCTACTCTTCTAGATGACATATCGGATGAACCGTTGATTTTCAACAACAACAAACTGAGAGGCGGAACTCTATCTTCACTTGTTAGCTATCTCATAGCTAATGTGCACATGGATAAGGAATTTCGACATGTTTTTTTATTAACTTATAAAAGTTTTGTAACAGCGAATGAGCTGCTCGCTTTATTAATTATGAAATTTCACAGTACAGTTCCTCTTGGAATTAGTGAGGATAAGTTGGCTATCTGGAAGAAAAAGGATCTGATCAAAAAGAAGAATATATGCACTGTTATCAATTTATGGGTACAAAAATACTTTGCGGAAGACTTGAACTCAAAAAGAGTTTTGGTTTGCTTATCTGAATTAAATGCGTTTGTTCGTGATTTTGTTATTCCTTCATTCCATATTGGAACTGTTATCCTCGAGGAGATTGATAATCTATGGAAGGAATCGGAGATTCCGGAACCAGTTAACCAAGTGGCTACTCTTGACGTATTTAGCTACAGCCCGAAGGATTTTGCAGTTCAAGTGACTATCATTGAATTTGATTGTTTCAAAAGTATTCCTACCTCTGAATGGATAAATAAGCGGTGGTTGGATCATAGATCTCGTAGTGCTATACGAGATTCTATTAACTTTTCCAACTGCTTTACCTTTTGGATAATTAATAGTATCCTTGACAGAAAAAATATTAAAGCAAGGGCTTTTGTGATATCTTATTTCATCCAAGTGGCATATGAGTGTTTGGCAGTTCATAATTTTTCTACTTTGATAGCTACTGTCTCAGCTTTAAACTCTGCTCCTGTTTACCGGTTGCGTGCTGCTTACAAGTTGGTTTCTTTGGAAGACACGAATAAACTGAAGGGCTTACAAGAAATCGTTGAAAGTAAGAGGAATTTCGTTGCTTATCGAACCTTAATTAAGCAGATTGAACTTCCTTGTGTACCTTTTCTCGGCGTCTTTTTGAGCGACCTTACATTTATAGATGAGGGAAATCCAGAAATTATTGACGGCTTTCCTCATTTAATTAATTTCAGCAAACGACAGCGTATTTCTAGTGTCGTTGATGAAATATGTTATTTCCAGTCTGTCTTTTATAATTTCGTTGAAAATGACAGATTTACAAATTCCATTCGCCAGCATTGCCAGAACGTGAATCAAGACCTATCTGATCTTTTTGATAAGTCTCTCTCGATAGAACCTCGTTGTTCATAGATTGTTTCCTTTGTTGGGATAATCGCTACATGGTTGGTTCCCTTCATCGTTTTGCTAATTACCATCAAAGGTACAACGTTGTCTTGCTTTTGCTTTTACACCATGTTGAACATTTTCAACAAAATCCATTTCATTTCCGTTTCAGACATCCATATTCCTTTCTCGTTTCTCTTCGGATTTGGTTTGGTTTGCTTTGCTTTGCAATTGTTAGTATATGTGAACTCTTTCGTTTCCCTTTTTTCCTTTCTTTTTTTGGCAAACTCTTTGCTTTATGTTCCGTCCTTACTAGTTTTTTGTTCATTATTTAATTTCCTTTTTGGGTTTTTGTTTATATATATTAGGAATGAAAACAATCTAGACTATTATCAATCTTTGTATTTTTGGCATTACTATTTCAAATCAACTTAAGAAATGCACGTATTCTAGTAATAATATTTAAAGCTCTGAAACAAAAAGAACAATATCTAACGACTTCCTACTGTTCTTTCGTTGGCTGTACTTTCAAAATCTCTCAACCGCAACTATCGCTATCCAGTAGTATTTTATTATTTAATAAATTGAATTGATACGTACTTTTAGCCTTAGCCATAAACAACATCAAAGCCGAAACAGAACAGCTCGATTTACTTATTAATTTTGCTAACGAAGGAGTAGTACGCTATACTGAAGGCAGCAATAAAAAAGTGTACACTTAATATTTACCGTCTTCTTCCCTTCCTAATACGTTGTTGTTACAGTCAGTTTTAAAAACTGAAAGACATTCAGGATAAATGACAGTAAAATGTCTAATAAGGAAAATTACCTGATGGGAAAGCAAAATGGTAGAACACCGTTGAAGAATGGTGAACTGGTAGAACCAAAAAGGCGCCGAACGGATTCAGTAGATGATTCAAATGAATCAAACTCTAAAGAAAAATCTTACACATTCCTTGATGAACTCAGTGAATATGCAATTGAGCTGGATCAAGATGTAGAAAAAGGTGAGTTTAGAGCAGGCAAAAAAGTAGCACAAAAAGCAACTGAAAGAAGCGTTTTGTTGATAAATACTAATAATGAAATAGCCACAAGAGATCAAAAATGGCAACGCCCTGCTCTATCGCCTCCCAATACTGAAAAGGATGATATATATTTCCAGCAAATCGATTGTGAAGAGTTTACCGAAGGGCCTGTCCCTTCTATCCGTTTGTTTGGAGTTACGGATCATGGTAACAGTATTTTAACACATGTAACTGGATTTCTTCCATATTTCTATATAAAGGCACCAGTAGGATTTCGGGTTGAAATGATTGAACATTTTTCTCGAGAATTGGATGCGGTTTGCAATGGAGGCGTAATCGATCATTGTACCATTGAAATGAAGGAAAATTTGTACGGTTTTCAAGGAAATGAAAAGTCACCTTTCATCAAGATTTACGTTACAGACCCTCGACTAGTATCTCGTGCTCGAAATGTATTCGAACGAAACGAAATAAACTATGAAGGCTTATTTCCCACGTCTGTCATGACTTTTGAAAGTAACACGCAATATCTTATGCGTTTTATGATTGACTGTAATGTGGCCGGTATGAGCTGGATTCAATTACCAGCTGGAAAGTACCAATTTCGATACCAAAATTGTGTCTCAAATTGCCAGATTGAAGCCTGGATCCATTATAAAGACCTAATAAGTCTTCCTGCAGAAGGTGAATGGTTAAAAATGGCTCCTCTTCGTATTTTGAGTTTTGATATTGAATGCGCTGGCCGTAAAGGTATCTTCCCTGAACCGTCTATTGATCCCGTAATCCAGATTGCTAACATTGTTACTCAATATGGCGACAAAGATCCGTTTGTTCGAAACGTATTTTGTGTGGATACTTGCTCTCAGATAGTAGGCACCCATGTCTTTGAGTTTCAGAGTCAATCAGAAATGCTTTTAGAGTGGTCAAAGTTCGTTCGCGAGGTTGATCCAGATGTCATGATTGGTTACAATATCAGTAACTTTGATTTCCCTTATCTACTTGAACGTGCTAAAACTTTGCGCGTTCACAACTTTCCTTTACTTGGTCGAGTAAAAAATTACTATACCGTCGCCAAAGATACCACGTTTTCAAGTAAAGCTTACGGTACTCGTGAAAGTAAGTCCATCCAAATTCCCGGAAGACTTCAACTTGATTTGCTTCAAGTCATGCAGCGTGACTTCAAGTTAAGATCCTATTCTCTGAATGCTGTTTGTGCTCAATTTTTAGGGGAGCAGAAAGAAGATGTTCATCATTCTATTATTACTGACTTACACAATGGTACTGCCGATTCGAGAAGACGTTTAGCTATCTATTGTTTAAAGGATGCATACCTTCCTCAACGACTTATGGATAAGTTAATGTGTTTTGTTAACTATACAGAAATGGCAAGAGTTACTGGTGTCCCATTTAACTATCTATTGGCTCGTGGTCAACAAGTTAAAGTGATTTCACAATTGTTCCGCAAAGCACTTCAGCATGACCTTGTGGTTCCAAATATCAGAGTTAATGGAACGGATGAGCAGTACGAGGGTGCTACTGTCATTGAACCCATAAAGGGATACTATGATTCACCAATCGCCACTTTGGATTTTAGCTCTCTATACCCCTCTATTATGCAGGCCCATAATCTTTGCTATACTACAATATTAGATCCGAATACTGCTAAGTCCCTAAATTTAAAACCAAATCAGGACTATTCGATTACTCCTAATGGGGACTACTTTGTAAAACCTGAAGTGCGTAAGGGATTGCTCCCGATTATTTTGGCAGATTTGTTAAATGCTCGTAAAAGAGCAAAAGCAGACTTAAAGAATGAAACAGATCCTTTCAAAAAAGCTGTTTTGGATGGTCGTCAGTTGGCTTTAAAGGTTAGTGCAAACTCTGTTTATGGATTTACCGGAGCTACTAATGGTCGACTTCCATGCCTGGCAATTTCTTCATCGGTTACATCTTATGGTCGTCAAATGATTGAAAAAACTAAAGAGGTTGTTGAAGCTCATTACCGTATGGAGAACGGCTATTCGCATGATGCTGTGGTTATTTATGGTGATACAGATTCCGTTATGGTCAAATTTGGCGTTAAAACACTACCCGAAGCTATGAAATTGGGAGAAGAAGCAGCTAATTATGTCTCCAACCATTTTATTGACCCCATTAAATTAGAATTCGAAAAGGTTTATTTTCCTTATCTTTTAATTTCAAAGAAAAGATATGCAGGCTTATTCTGGACTCGCACGGACACGTTTGACAAAATGGATTCGAAAGGTATTGAGACTGTTCGTCGTGATAATTGTCCTCTGGTTTCATATGTAATTGATACAGCCTTGCGGAAAATGTTGATTGATCAAGACGTAGAAGGAGCTCAAGAGTTTACGAAAGGCGTTATATCCGACCTTCTCCAAAATAAAGTTGATATGTCACAGCTTGTGATCACAAAAGCTCTTTCTAAAACGGATTATGCTGCTAAGCAAGCTCATGTTGAATTGGCTGAGCGTATGCGTAAAAGAGATGCAGGTTCAGCACCTGCAATTGGAGATCGTGTTGCTTATGTTATTATCAAAGGTGCGCAAGGTGATCAATTTTACATGCGCTCTGAAGATCCCATCTACGTATTGGAAAATAACATTCCCATCGATGCAAAGTATTATTTAGAAAACCAACTTTCGAAACCTCTACTTCGTATTTTTGAGCCTATTTTAGGAGAAAAGGCTAGTTCTTTGCTTCATGGAGATCACACAAGGACTATTTCGGTTGCAGCGCCTAGCGTTGGCGGAATCATGAAGTTCGCTGTTAAAGTTGAGACATGTTTAGGGTGCAAAGCTCCAATAAAAAAGAGTAAAGCGGCATTATGCGACAATTGTCTGAACCGATCAGCCGAATTATACCAACGCCAGATCGGGCAAGTCAATGATTTAGAAATCAGGTTTGCTAGATTATGGACGCAGTGCCAAAGATGTCAAGGAAGCATGCACCAAGACGTTATCTGTTCAAGTAGAGATTGTCCTATCTTCTACATGAGGATTGCCGAATTCAAAAAGCTTAAACAATCGGTTGATGTGCTCCAGCGGTTTGATGAGATGTCTTGGTAAATATAATTATTTATTCCTACTAATAATGTCTCAGTGTGATAATGAACCGCTTTTCTCTCTTTTAAGTCTTAAATAAATAATATATCAACGGGAATGAAATTAGTTATACTTTTGGTTTAGTGTCTTTTTGTATGTATATCATTAAAAAATAAAGAAAACGCAAAAGTTACTAAAACTCAACTTAAGCATACCTTACAAATTCAAGCCTGAATAGAACTCATAACCAAAAGCTTATGATAGTGAATAGAACAAAGACTAAATATATGGGTAGACGATTGTACAAGCATGCTTGATTCTTTCAACATGGATAACTCGATACATCAACATAGACGGACGACCTCTAAATGCCAAGTCGTAAAAATAGGCGACATTGATAGATCACTATCTAGTCATGAAGAGTTTAAGGAGTGCCACATAACACAATCCATGTCAAACCTAACCTTGTAGTTGAGACTGTCATGCAGATATTCTAAATTAAATCTTGTCATCATTAGGATTTCTCATCTTTACGCTATAAGCCTCATCCTTGCACTAAACGCTCGAAATTTAGTATGCCATGGTCGCATAAACTGCTTACTCTCAGTTTGTGATTATTGTCAATCATCAATCCCAACATGAACCATACTGCATTCATTGCTTGTATGTCTTGACGAAATTACCAGTGAGTAATATTAGAGCAGGAAAAAAGCGATAACAAGCGAGCTAGGGAACGGTAATAGTAAAATCAAGGTACATTACTATTTTAATTGAACAGATACTTATTTCTCGAATAATCGCATCACTTTTTCATCAGAACCATGTATAAAAGAAAGCATTCAAAAATATGAAATGAACCTTAAGTAGGTGTAAATACACGAAGGAAAAGTTTATTAGATAAGTGGTAATTTCACCCGAAAGGCCGCAATGCAACACTTTGCACCCATATACTCATAAAGAAGCAGCTTTTCGAGCCAGAAGATCAGCCTGCTGATTTCCATAGTCTGTGCTATGACCTTCTACGTACTCCAGTTCCACATTCCTGTCTTCCATAAGACGAGAGGCACGAGTGATCAAGTCAACGTTCTTAACAGGAGTCGAAGAACTAGTCATATAATTTGTTTTTTCCCACTTCTTGTTCCATACGGTTAAAGCCTGGATGGCGTATTTGCTATCTGCACGAATAATAACATCACCACTCGTATTTTCTAAGGCATGAATTATTGCTTGAAGTTCTGCTCGATTGTTTGTTTGTTCGCCTATAATAAGTCGTTCGGAAAGATTCCTTGGGTCTCCTGGTCCAAAGTATACACCACAACCAGCAGCAGCACCAAATTTTCCGTTTCCTAAACTTGATCCATCAGTGTAAACAATTTCAGGATTGGAAGCGCCGGTCTTTTTATGATACGGAGAAGGAACAGAGGGCCTTGAAGGAGAATATGGTTTTGCCAAAGAAGTATGCTTTGTAGAAGACTCGTTTTCAGAGGATAAGCCATTTTTATTGGAAGAATAAGAAGGCTTTTGAGAATAAGAGTAAGGGGAATACGAGGGACGACTAGGACGAGACTTGCTATATGACGATGCGGTCAAAGATGGATTCAACGGACTGCTATTGCAACCTTCTGATTTACAAAACGCTTTGGCTTCTTCTAATGTTTTGAACTTTTTATAGCGACTATTAGCATATCCAGAAACGTTGGGAACAGTATCATCCCTAATAAGTTAGTTTTTTTATCGGAATGGTAAATGATTCATTTAGAGAAAGGCAGAAGAACAGGGAGATATTAAAAAAGCCTTCATGTTTGACTTGCGGTTCCATCAAGAGCAGGTTCTCAAGGCACAAAACTAGTTGAGAAGGGAGAAAAGAAAGTTTTTATAAAATCATTGTTCTAAAGACTTGAATTCTTTAAACTTCTTACCAAGAGTTAAAAATTCCAGTTTTACGTCCACGAGCGACGGCATAGTAAGCAGGCTCTGCTCTACTTTTTCCCATGTCTTTCAATCCTGCGATCAAGACACGATTCTTTAGAAAATCTTGAAATTTCAATGGTAAATTAGCAGTAAATACTGCTACACATTCACGCCAAGCAGTAGTTTTTGTACAGCTGCAGTTGAGAATTGCGAGCTATCCTATTGCTTCTTTGCGCTTCATTAAGTGGTAATTAGAGCTTGCGAAAACCTCGAAAACAATACGCTAAAATAGCATTCCGAAATTGTGTGGATTTCGTAATAAAAGATTTCCGGGTTCGTTAAACAAAGATTCAACCTTCGTATGCAGCATTAAGGCCTTAGTTTCAGACCGTCTCCATAACAGTACAACTAAGATGAATCCAGAGTAGTAAGTGAAATGCGCGTTTTACTTCTTGAAAGGACAATAAATAGCTGACAAACAATAGAGTAATGATGGAATATATAAAGGAAATCTCGATTGAGCTTGATTTGGCTGCGTAATGAAACACCGAGATTTCCAGAGAAAGAGAAAATACAGAACGAAGACTAATTTCGTGTAGATACGACTATCTCTTTAAGCTTTTACTTATTGGTGACTCTGGCGTAGGAAAGAGCTGTCTTCTCTTACGATTTGCAGATGATACTTACACCGAGTCATACATTTCTACCATTGGCGTTGATTTCGTATGTTTACTGGAGCGTTTCATGCGTCAACTTAAAGTTAACACATGTAGAAAATTCGTACTATCGAACTAGAAGGAAAGACTGTCAAACTTCAGATTGTATGTGCTGTCACGCGGATGGGGATATTGAGTTTGTCGAAATTTGCAGAATTTGCTAACCAGAGCACCCTACTGGTGGGTGCGTTTTGTAGTGGGATACAGCTGGCCAGGAACGTTTCCGTACGATTACAAGCTCTTATTACCGCGGTGCTCACGGTATCATTATCGTTTATGATGTTACAGATCAGGGTATGTTGGAGTTGACGCAGGAGAAAAGCTAATACTTTTCTAGACTCTTTCAGCAATGTCAAACAATGGTTACAGGAAATTGACAGATACGCCGTTGAAGGTGTCAATCGATTGTTAGTCGGTAATAAATCAGACATGACTGATAAAAAGGTTGTCGAGTACACCGTCGCCAAGGAATTTGCAGACAGCCTGAGCATTCCTTTCCTTGAAACATCTGCTAAGGATTCCACCAATGTGGAACAGGCTTTCTTAACCATGGCTCGACAAATCAAAGAGCGCATGGGAAACACTGCCTTTACCTCCTCAAACGCCAAATCTAGTGTCAAGGTTGGTCAAGGTACTAACGTTTCTCAAGGCTCAAGTAGTTGCTGTTAATGTATAAAGCGTTTAAGATACGTACTAATTGACCTCTCCCACTCTGGCGTGTTTATATGTTCTATTTGTATTAATGATACTCATTGGAAGATTCTATCTGCTGCGATGGCAATACTTTCCTTAAATAATAAAGTATCTAAAGGCTAGTGTTGAAACTATTACATGGCCTTATTACTTGACGCATTCGATGGGCTTCTCCCTTCAGCAGCTACCTTAACCAAGGTATTAACAAATGTGTTTATGACTAGCAGCTTGCTTTTTCCTATTAATTGGAAATTTTTCGTTTTTTAAATCCTACAATGCTATATACTCTATATGTATCAAGTAACCCATCCTATAGCTATATCTCTCTTTAGACCTATGAAGCGGAATATCACTGTTAATTAGAAGACATTTGTAGATTAAGAAGAATTAGATTTGATGCATTTTCAATTCATATAAAAGCTATCCATCTTCTGGTCGCAAGTAAACATTTTTTGCTAGCGTTCCTTTCCAAGCCAGCTTCTAAGTGACGAAGCTAACAGTAGCAAGGCAAAGCATTTTCATTATCTAGAATTTTAATTACGTTCAACCTACTTTACTTGGTTTATAACAGCAAGATACTAGCTACTGCGGATCGCACTTGCTTAGTACTATGGTAAGGTCTGAAGACATCCGTCCTCCATCATTTGAAGAAATTGAAGAACCACTTGCGACTTTCCCGATTCCACTGTGAATCAACTAACTTTCTTTTATCTTCAATTTTATTGAATAATTTACTATCTTTATAGAGAATCTAATAGCATTTACATACACGCTGGTGTCTTTTCAGGAACAAAAGGTTATCTCAAAATCCTTCCCAACCTGCTACTCACAACAGTCTAGTATCCTATTTTAAGAATTGGGTTAAAAGAACATCAGTGGAAATGTCTTCATTAGCTCTAAAAATTGGAAGTTTACTAGTTCGGACGCTGTCAAAACCTATAGCAAATACAATAAAAGCGCAAGCAAAAGAACATAAGACATTCCGAAAGGTACAATATTCAGTATATTATTAAGAAGGTAATCGTCTAACTCAGACTCATTCTAGGTTTGTATCGACTTTGCACAAATGATGCATCGAGCTGAATTTCGAATTATGGGAGCCAATCGTGCCCGCAGTGGTCAAATGAATGTTCGTGTTCGTCCACTAAATGATGCGAAAGCGGTGGACGCCGGAGCAAATTTTCTTTCTGAAACATTCGTATTGTAAGTAACGAGGGTTCTGGTATTTAAAAAAGATATCTCCATGCTGCAAATTCATCATTGCAAAAGATTTTCAGACGTTACTGACATTTGTTCTAGTACGGTTGCTGGCGGAGCTATTCTCTTTGAAACTTGGAGAGCAAGACGAAAAGAAAAGAATCGGCGCGACAATGTAGCTGAGGCAATTTTTGGACTTCAGCAAGAAATCATTCGCATACATGGTATATTGGAAAAACAAGTATTAGAAAAAAAGTCCAAGAGCGCCAAAGAGGAGGGGAACAATGATCATACGGAGGAGGATTTTAAAGAACTTCACAAAATAATGCATGCAGTGGAACAGGAGCTGCATGGCTTGACTTCCACAGAGACAGAGGATTCTAAAAAAACGAAGAATGATATTTCAGATCAGGGCTCTGATAGCCTCACATCCGCGCCCAGCGTATCTAAAAATCCACCTGTTCCAGAATCCAATCATCCATCAACGAATCCATCCTCTATCGCTCACCCTCAACCTTCCAAAAACCCGTCAAGTTCATGATAAAGCAGTTTCTTATTGATTTCTGACATTTCACGGTTTTATACCCCTGATATCTTATTTACTGCATACCAATTCTTCTTCTCGTTTATATTATTGTTTGATATTCGCTATTTCTATTCCCATCTCTCGAGTTTTAGCTAACGCAAATTTTGATTTTAATTGTATATAATTTCTGTACTTTTCCTCATGCTGTATCGTTGGAAAGTAAGTTCTTGCCATAACAAGTTGAAACAGTCACCCAAGAAAGTGAAAAGAATCTTTTACAAACTTTATCCACTCTACTGTTGAACCTGTTTCTTTCAAACAAACGCGATTTATCATCTTTAGTCTTGTGTAATATATCTTATTAAAGCGTTTCTATTTTTTTATACAGTGATCTTTACTGAAGATACCTGGGTTAAGGTAATTGTGTCTCATACGCAAATTCTGATTTTTACCGTTTAAAGGTCAATTCAGAGAAATGTCATTTCGAAAATGGATGGGAATGGTAATTATATTAAAAGAAATTTTAGAAACGAATATTATATTAACAAAACTAGAGTTCTGGGAATTCTGCTGAACGGCGAAAGAGCATGTTGGAATTGGAACAATTAAAGCAACCATTAGTCCCTGAATCATTTACCGATCGGTTTTTTGGACTAACAAATGTAAGCTTTAAGAGGAATTGCCGTCTATAAAGCGTGTTTACTAACTTTACATCTAGTATGGCAATACTTGGTATGTTGAGAACGATTAAGTTAGGAAAAAGAGGACAAAGCCTCTAACCTTCATAGTTATGTAAGTTCTGTACTTGTGTCTTTATATCATATAAAGCCGTTTCGTGATAGTCTGAATGCTTTTCCAATGCCGAGTGTTCCACCAAATTGCAAAAGCGTCTGTGTAAAATCGAATGGATCAGAGTCATCAGGATCTAATTCTTGGTATTCCTCTTCTCGTAAAAAGAACGGTGACTTGAAGAAGCAGCCGTCCCCTGTTAATTTTAATGGATGCGGTTGTGTAGATATTTCAATGGCTGGAGCAGACGTTGGTTCAAAACATCAAATTCAAGTTAATAATACTAGTTATGCAAACTATGGAATGGAAGAAAATGTTTATACTAGCTTGAAAGATCTATATGCATGCGTCAGTTCCTGCGAGTGTCGATACGGCGTGTGCAGTCCAGAGAGATTTATCCAAATCCTGCGTCGCGATAATGAATCCTTTCGTAGTACCAGACAACAGGATGCACACGAGTTTTTAAACTTTCTTCTGAATTCTATAACCGAGGTTCTGGATGAATATTACAGAAATCACCCTGAAGTTCCTCACTCAAAGTGGATCCACTCTTTATTTGAGGGCACGCTGACCAGTGAAACAAAGTGTCTTACTTGTGAAAATATTACTTCAAGGGATGAAAGCTTTTTGGACCTCAGTATCGACATTGAAGAATATTCCTCTGTGACATCTTGTTTACGTTCTTTCTCTGCTTCTGAGATGCTTTGTGCCAAAAACAAGTTTCATTGTGACGTTTGCAAGAATCTGCAGGAGGCAGAGAAACGTATGAAAATTAAGAAATTACCAAAGATACTTGCTTTGCATCTTAAACGTTTCAAGTACAATGAATCTCAAGAGGTACACGACAAACTGTTTCATACCGTCGTATTCACCAACGAAATGAGACTATTCAATACGACAGATGATAATGAGGATGCTGAAAAGCTCTACTCTTTGTCCGCCATAATTGTCCACGTCGGCGGTGGCTCTCACCATGGTCACTATGTATCAATTGTTCGCACACGATCTAGTGGATGGGTACTATTTGATGATGAGAAAGTAACTCCTGTTAATGAATCTTATTTGCAAAGGTTTTTTGGTGACCAACCTGGGCAAGCAACCGCATATGTTCTTTTTTTTACAGCAGCTGAGGAATTTGAAGACTATCAAGATACTACGAATGATGAGACATTGCCGTATCCTATTTCTATTCCAAATCAAGCCAGTAGCGAAAGTACGGATATGAATAATACGCCAGCTACACCCAAATCGGTTTCAACGCTTGCTCATGGTGATTTGGATCCTATGGTAACCTCCTATTCCTCCCAATACTCACAAAAAGCTGATAGAGATTTTCATTTTCCATTCAGTCCTGATCTAAGCTCGTCTATGGAATCTGAGCGTAACCATCCGAAATCAGCGGAGGCTTCTCCCAAATTTTTGAAACGAGAAAGCAAATCGCTTTTTCCTTCTTTAAGTCGAAGCAAAAGTCATAAAGTTTTATTTTCTTCGCAAAACAACTCCCCTAAAGATACTACGACTCGTGATAACAAGCATTTCATTGAACATGATGTGAAGCATCCATTTCCTTTTCAACTCTCAAAAACAAAAATGAAAAGATGAAGTCACGCTAGATTTGTTGGAATCCTAGTTGATCCTTTTGCGCTTTCCTTTTTGATTTTCTTTGTATTTGTACTCCCTAATTTCATGTAATTTTTACTAATCATTCGTTTACGGTTTGCTTCTTTAGTTATACTTTTATTCGTCATTTGAATTTTGCTTAGCTTCAATGTGTATTGGGCTATTGGTTTTATTTTTTCATCATCCTTTGGTGAAATTGATCTACTATTCTCTGAGATTGTTTGTGTAGTAATTAATGCCGGATTGTTTCACTTTTTTATTCTGCAAGGGGCGCTAAAAGACCTAGCTAGTAAGTATCATCTTTTATTAAACAACGTCAATGGAACTATGCTATAAGTGAAGGCTTTTGCAAGATGTTGTAGTATAATTAAACCAAAAAGATTTTAAGGCATACAAAGTATTCATTGAAGAAATTCAATTCAATTATTAAATCCCTAGAAATAATAACAATTCCCTTTTTGAAGGTATTAGTCGTGCGTCTGAAGAAAGTAACGATATTTCTGTAGATACATGTACAAATTAGGATCACCATTTTTTTGTTGAAGTTCATAATCTGATAATAGCTCAATAGCCTGGTAAGCGTCTCCTTTCGAAATCATTGGCAACGTTAATTCTTCTTCGTCTGTTTCAAATTCTCGATCCCCGAAAATTTCAAATGCGAATTGACTAATGATATCCTCCGAACTATCCATTCCCATTTCTTCGATTGGATTAATGAAATTCTGAATGTTAATGGCCGCTTGAGGATCAAGCTTTGTCAACAATTCACGTATCCTATCGTCGAGGCTAAATGGTTCACGTATATCCCGTTCGTCTTTTTTCGTTTTCGTTAATGCGAACATGCCAGAGTTTGAAAAGCAATCTTCTATAAGGTTTGGAGACAAGTTGGAGTTCCATGCTTCGTTGATCCATTGTACAGCTATAAACAAGTTGATCTTGTTATAAGGATTTAATTCAGATTCTTTGTGACTGATGAGAAAATTCAGCCAGCTAATTCGGTATAGAGATTTCAAGTTATAAATAATACCCAGCTCAAATGGGTTTCGAATATTCATAGAATTATTAGGCAGCATAATAATGATTGTGTTATTTAGGTCATTTCCTGATAATCTTATGTTTTCTATCGCTCGTCCGTGAGCGATGAAATTGTCTAGTAAGAGCAAAACCTTTCTCCCTTCCATTCTTGCATCAAACCATCGAAGCCATTCTTCCATTATAGATGTTGTCATTAATGCTCTTCCTGTACATCTCCATTTTATATTTAGATTTTCTGGATGAATCTTAAAGTTCTTGAAGGCTCTAGGAAGATTGGAATAGCCTATAACCCATAATGGCAATTTTTCGGTACCTGATGCATTGCAACAGGCGGTAACAGTAACTCTAGCTTTGTCACGACGAATCCCACGAACTTGTTCATTTTTTACTTTCTTTGAAGGACCGAGTTTCCAAAATAAACCGATTTCATCCACGACGAATACATCTTTTTCTGGAAGTTGATTTGTTAAGTCTTGTACGAGGACCATTATACCAGTATATATAGAAAAAAAAAGGAAGAAAGAAAAGCTTATTCACTTGCTATTGCTACTAGAGTGCTTTTAGAAAAAGTTTTCGTTATAAACAGTTATATTGTAGCTAAATAACACTTCCCTTTTTCCTCCATTTACTTTTTTTTAAAAAATTAGCTAAGCAAAAATTGAAGAATTCAATTTTTAAAGCTGCTGCTTTCTTAATTATTGCAAAGAGCGGTTTGTTTCCTTCTCTAAGTTCCGCACTAATGATGATGGGTCGGTCAATGAGTAAGAATACCATATACGGACCAAGGTTAACTTGAGCTGGGGAAATGAACACCAAATCTTAGTACATCCGTGAGAATAGTGTTTAGCTCTTAAATACTTCATGTGCCTAAGTGATTGAACGATAAACGATGAAAATTTCGACTTATTGTTTACTCTGTTTTCATTCAGCAATCGGTTCCAATGTCTGTTTCTCTTTATAACTTTAGATAGAATATACAACACTTGTCACATGTCTACGGCCATACCTAGGCGAAAACACCAGTTCCCGTCCGATCACTGCAGTTAAGCGTCTGAGGGCCTCGTTAGTACTATGGTTGGAGACAACATGGGAATCCGGGGTGCTGTAGGCTTTTCTTTTGTTGCTCTTTACTTTTTTCATTTTGCTTTTCTTTTTTAATACGTCTACTACTGTTGCTTGCAACCGTTTTCTCGATAGAATTTTTGCAAGCTGTTCCTTTACAAGTGACAAAAGACTAATTACAAGTTCAATGAAAAGAAATGAAACGATCGTATTCAATTGCAATTAAGAATAAGAATAATAGGAATAATCATCATTAAGAACGTAGGATGATGCCAATGATCTCAGATTACGGTTCCTTTCAATGCGCGGATTGTATGCATGCCTTTCTATTGTCCATTTTTCTTCGTCATTTCCAATTCATGTTGGTACAAGGATAAGTTCGTAGTCAAAATAAAGTGTAAAGGCGCTTAACAAAGGCAAAGGAGTAAATCTTCCTCGAAATAAACCGCTTGTAATGTTCTCTTTTTCCACTTAGTGACTTTCGATCGGAAGAGTTAAGACTCATGAGAAAAGAAAAGAAACGTAACAAATAGCATTAACTTTGAGTGGTAGGATTGCTCTGCAGCTCTATTTCTTCGTTCGTAGTTGTCGGCGGAGGAGCTAGTGTATCATCCCTTTGTTGATATCTGGGCAGCGTAGGCGAACCGGTGTTTTCAGCTGAGCGCTTAAATTCCATTCCAAGGCCAAAAACAGTAATGTTATAAAAGCCCCAGCACAAAAGACCAACGACAAAAACTCCAGCAGCTCCAATACCTCCAATTAAGACTGCAACTACGACTGCAACACCTCCAATTAAGACTGCAACTACGACTGCAACACCTCCAATAAAGACTGCAACTACGACTGCAACACCTAATATAACCTGTGCAATAGTTCTTGCTACTTTGACAGCGAATGAAGAAGAATCTACTTTTTGTTAGCAAACATAACGGCATCTTTCTTTTGTTTTCTGTTTATCAAAAATGCTTCACTTACAATAAAATAGACCAAACAAGCTTGTCCATATCACAAGCAAAGGGCCTAAAGGTGCAAGAAGGGCCCAACTTAATTTATCGTCCGAATATACTTGTTCCAGCCAAGAAAGAAGTTTGAAACAGTATGAAATTGCTAATGTACACATCAACGAAAAAAATAATGTTGAAGGTAGACGCTGGCTTTCATCAATAATGACAAGATTATCAGAAAAGCGAAGGGAAAGTTGTTTCAACACTTCCTCATAGCTTTTCTTTATCAAGGCGATGGAATTTTGTGATCCATTCCTGGGCGTTTTTTTGCTATGTTTGGCTTTGACAGAAGTTGAATTGGAAGGGTTCTTTATGTCTTTTGGTGTATCCAAACAAAGACCCTTCTCTAAATCAGCACTGTAAACATTAGCATGGTTGTACGCAGGAGGGTCACTTGAATCCAGTTTCAGCTCCTTTTCCGACATCCTAAAAATAAATAAAGAGAGATTTCAATGAATAATTAGCAAAAGAGCGTCAAATAAAAGCTGTCGATCCGTATTCGATGCAAAATTTCGCAAACGCAAAACTCATCAGAAGTAGCAGCCAAAACTAAAGAAGCTCTACCTGGTCATTCCAAAAGCACAAAATGGAAGTCAAAATCAGCCCAATTGGCAGGAATTGAAGAAATAAAAAGTTGGCTCCAGCAAGAAATTTCGCATCACTTACGCAACATTTTTGCTCAGGATAATGATGGGTTCAGTTACGCTATCTCTTATAGCGATTATTGTTAATAAATCGTTGAAGATACGTTTGAGTCACAAGGAACAAATAACAAGTTTCGCTAGTTTCGCGTTTGTTTACATAGCAGATCTCACTTTTCTGTGAACTGTTAACAACTTTTTACTTGAAAGTGAGCTACTAATTTCTCGTTGTACTTAATTTATTCACACAGAAGAAGTAACAAACAAAACATGGAAACTGCAGACGCATTAGCTAACTGCTTTTCATTAGACAATTGAATAACAGCCTACAA